TAATAGAAAAATTGAAAATAGAACAGGAAATCAAATATATCAAATAAATGCAACCTTGGTGTGCACAAGAGACTTGAGGAAAAAAACAAAAAAACATTGAAAATATCTTACCACCCCTAAACGTTTGAACAGTAATGTAGCATAATATTAGTATTAGTGTATAGTATTATATTATATTATAAGATTATATACTATATTACTTATATTATTATATATTAATATTATATTAATTATATCATTCTGTAGTGCTGCAATGTATGGAATAGTGTGGAACTGTGATATGTCTGCAAATGTCTAATGGATTCCCTAAATAAGCATTTCCTCCCACTTCTGTCAATAGTCTGAGCACCTTTAGTAAGTGATGTCATCTTTGATATAGAATGTGGCACACAAGAAACCCCAGATGGTGTGGTGAAAAACCATCAGGCAATCTGCCATTTGTGGAAGACCTACCAAAGTCCCCTTTAAACTCCATGGGTGTAAACCATGCTTCATAGTATACTATTATTAGTCCTGCATAAAACACTGCTCAGCTCATGCTAATTCAGCCTCAAAGTTCAGGTTTCTGCTAGTTGAGACATCATACGCAATGTTTCCGAAAACATAACACTTTTTCTTGTTAATAATCCCACTTATTTTTGCAGCATTTCATGTCTAATTTCTTATTAGAGGTCACACAACAGGATTAACTCTCCGGCATGCGCTGCTGCATCCAAATACCCCCATGGCATGTCTCTCTGACATGTCTATCTGTCAGCTGTTGATAAGACAGTCCTATGCAAAAGTCTGTCCCTTAATTTCCTCTTAATGGGCCGACGCATTAATGTGAGTCATGTGCCAATAGCGGTGATAACTCCATGACAAGGTTATTAAAAGAACAATCTGAGAATTCACTGGGCAGAAATCGAGAGACGAACCGGAGATGTGAAATTGCTTCTGGTATGACTGTGGTCATATCAGCTTGGGTGCTTCGCTGATTAACGAATTAGAGAAGAAATGAAATAGGGCATTGGGCATAGCCTTTGCTGTTAGGCACAGGCCTGAAAAAAAGCAGACTTATCTGTTGAGAAAATGAGGGAGACGGGCTAGTGATGGTAATATGCTGTTTAAAGTGTGGTAAAATAGAGGGAGCACAAGTAAAGTGAGGAAAGAGAGTTGCTTGCGGAATGGGGGTACTAAAAGCCTGCACAAAGTGCACCTAATGCGCTCCAGAGTGCGATGATGTACGCCTTGTTATAGCACCGAGGGCGAGACGTAGCGTACTAACAGCACTGTAAAAGCTCCAAATATCCAAATATCTCCAGAAGTCTTCACCTCCATTACCGGACCTCACATCTCTAAATTATTTCGATCCATAATCGGATGCCTGGATATAGACAGATGAAAGACAAGCCGAGAAGGCCGGCATGTTGATTATTTTCACAGATGGATTGATTTTTCTCATATTTCTCCTGATTGTTCTCTATTGACGTTGATGTGCTTTGCATAACAATATGTCCGACAATTTTAAATGAGTTTCCCAGGGCTTTGCTCTCCACATGGGAGTTCTGATTAGCGAGGGCCGCTTGAGTGGCTTGTCAATCTATCCCGTCGAAGAGGAGCGCCCAACAAGGTGCTTTCGCTTTCTGGAGAATTTATGCTCGCTGACTCTCAGAAAGAGAAAAGATGTCATCTATCGCTGAGGGAGGCAATAAATAAAAATATCAAAGCGTGACCGTGGGGTTGCCTGGTTGAGCCAATCGCTCAAGCTTGAGTTTATTCCCCATAATCCTCCATTTCCATGCTCAATGCACTGTGTCTTCACTCATGACGGTACAGTAACCCAAAGCCACATCTGGAATGAAGCGTGAACGTCAACTACCCCCTTAGGTTCTGTGAAAATGCTTGAATGACCTACACCATTGTTTCTCAAGCCCCCACAGATTCATTTCAGATATCTCCCAAATTTTAGCACACCTGATTCACTTCATTAGTCACTCTGTGGAGACCCTCTTGAGTCTATGAAAACTAAACTGGGTGTGTTCGATTAGTCAGATCTCTAAAATGTGCGGTAGGAATGTATTGAGAAATCCTGACTTAGACTAATCAGGAGTGAAATCCGATTGAGATTTCACTCTCAGGAATGAGCAAAAGGGCTTAGGCTTAGTGCTCGAGGTCGACCTCCGCTTGTCTCCTATCCTCAGAATGGCCTTCCTGACAAATCCGACCAGGCACTTTGTCTCTTACATCAGCATGGGTGCGGCATTGCAGTTTTTATGGCTAGTGACTTGGTTAAATTATCTGTCGAGGAAATCGGAACAGGATTAGGGTAGGAAGGGAATCATGGGTAATACACTGCTATCAAAAACAAGCATGGCAGAGCCAGAGATATGGAGACAACGGGGAAAGTGATGGGATTCAGAGGTGACTTCTCTCAACACATTGTACGGCTCAGGGGTGGGATTATAAAGCAATTAGCAGCACTGGCGGTGATTAATACTGTGGCTAATAGGATGAGGCTGAAGATCGGATGGGGGAAGGGAGGTACCAAGCACAAGAAACCCGGACGAAGACAAGCACAGTGCATCAATCACAGATGACAGCTGGGACAGGGTCCAGGAGCTCCATTCATCATGAGAGAGAGGGGGACACACACAGCTCAGCAAAGTAGCAGTGGAAGCATTAATTACTAGTTGCTTCAAACATCCCTGACACCTCAGATTGTAAACTGGAGTTAGGTACTTAACTTGGATGAATCAGCCGAGAATCAAGATGATGGCATTAGAGAGACTGCCAGGGTTTAAGAGGAACTTCTCATAATAAAATGCTGCAGTCAGACTTTTAGGGTGTGTTCACACTTGTAGTTCGGTTCGTTTGGTTCATTTGGTCCGGACCAAAAAGGAAAATTATACATTTGGTCCTGGTCCGCTTAGCGTTCACATTGGCATTTTTGACAGCGAACCTAAAGGCATAGTTATACGTTCACAACCTGATTGGTCGGCTTGAATGACGCATATATCGTGACGGAACTCACCGAACACCACAAACAAAAGGTGCGTTAGACTTAAAGCGGCACTGCCACATGCTCAAATGAACCGCACTAACAGAGCAATCGCACCAGGGTTAGTTTTAATCGAGCCAAACATGCCAAGTGTGAACACACCCCTACAGTACATCAATGCATTTTGGGTAATTTTCTGTCAGAACTGTCTGTCATTAAACTAGAAAAACTCATATGAAAACAAAATTACTGTTCAATCAATCCATTCCATTTCCTGTATGCTGTGTAAAAATTTTTTATTATTTGCATTTATTAATTCATTTTTTTAAATAATGTCATTAAAATACCAAAATAAATACCACAGTTTACATTTCAGAATTCTCAATACCAATTTTAATACCACAGCAAATACTAATACTAGCCTACACTGTAAAAATCTATCGTAACTTTAACAGTAAAAGATTACAAAATTGCTATGGTAAAAATCTGTTAAATGGTTAACAAGTCAAGTGCCCTTACGGTATACGGTGAAAACTGTAATAGATTATTATTATTATTATTATTGTCGTTGTTGTTTTAACCATCATCAATACATATATCGTCCTATTCAAAAACTTGAATACATTATTCCTCCCTCTAGTCAGCAGGGGACCTTGGAAGAGGCAACATATTCCCACAGCCATCCATTATAACCATAACGGTTGTAACGGTATAAAAACGGAAACGGAAACATTTTCAGTACAGATATTTCGGTTCAGTATGCATAAGTAATGAACAAATACAGCATTGTTTTAACCACTGCATGAATGGAACTTCATTGGAAACTACCAGTTTTATATACTGTTACTTTTGATAAAAAAAACAAAGTCCCATCTTTCAAATTATTCTATATTTTTTCAGGAAATTCAAACAATAAATGGCGTTTTGGCGCTCTTTAATGTTAGTATGAAACAAATCAATCAATCAATCAATCAATCAATCAATCAATCTATCTTAGAATTTATTCAAGATGCAGTGCATGTTGGAAACCGTAGTACCAGCACATTACTCTGGACATCATTTTACTGCTTTGAATTTGTAATTATACAAGAGATTACTATAATATACACACAGATAAACATTATGATTTTACATGATCCTGTTCTCTGTAAAGTCATACTATATTGCTAATCATTTAAAGAAAGGAAGTAGTAAATCTACTACTGTTTTTTATGGTAACTCATAGCTGGTAATATGCTTTAAATTCACACAGAAACTGTTTACAGTGTATATAAATGAGAGAGAGAGCGCGATATCATTCTATGAGAACAAACTCTGCCCTGTGATTGATGGACTGATGATATCAGTTGAAATATTATATAGAGTGAGTTTAAGGTACAGCTTTATCTTAAATTCTTAGAAAAGCGGTTTCTCTTTGCAGTTTCTTAAAAGATCTACAATACAATTGCACTGTGTATCTTCAGGGTTGTAGTGCGACATGAACAACACTATACTAATACTGATAAGATTCACAAGAACAAAAAGCACAGTACCTACAGAAAGTACAGCTGTCTCTTCCTTTTCTTCTCCGGTTCTTCTTTTGTGTTCACTGGAAGGAGAGGAGAAAAGATCACATTAGCACAACACTAGTTCAGAGATGGCCATCTCCACCACACATTATCATCTCAGCCTCAGGGCAGAGCATAAAGTCTTGAGGGTGTCCAGCTATGGACCCAAAGGATGATGCCATCTGCTTTAAAGTGTATATAAAAACAGGAAATGACCAGGTTGCAAAGCAGGCCAAGGCACAACTATGAACCCAGAGATTTATCAAACTATACATGGGGAATTCAGGTAAACTGGGCTAGTTGCTGACTCTCAGGTCAATTGAAGTAAGTACATGAATATTAGCATTAGTATATAAGATGTTCCCTATTCAGTGACAGTGATATAATTCCCAATAGAACTGAGGTTCACATATTTTACTCTGAATATTCAATTAAAGATGTTTTGAATAACATCTTTAAAGTAGCCTGGAGGCAGAGCCGTACAGTGTGCCAGTGTGATGTTCATTAATTAGCACAGCTCTAAATAAAACAGACTGCTCATTGTAGAATTGACTTACAATGTCTGAATGTCCACATGAAGACATGTGCTGAGGAAGTCACCTTAAATTAAATATGAAGGAGAAGTAGGTTTGAGCTCTGGAGAATTAATGGCAATTTAATATTCTGTTATTTATAAAGTGCACGGTCTTGTGTTCCAAAATGTAAATTATTCAAGGAAAAGTAAAAAGAAAACCTTTGTTAAAACCAACCAACACAGGTCAACCACACAGGTCATACACAGATATCATTTTTCATTTGTATAATATGTATTATATAATATTTATATTTACAAATGTATAAGATTATATATTTATTATTAAATAAGTACAAAGAAAGCAGTTTTATCTAAATCTATTTACAAATAAGGATAATACAAGCATTTCTGTAGCCTATTTATATAATTTCTACAATCTGTTTGTATAAAATTATCCTTGCTTGTACAAGAGCAAATATGCACAAACATTCTTGATATAAATGTGCAAAAATGGGACATTCACCAATAATATTTTAAAATAATTCCATAATTTACATGGCTGCAGTGCTTGCACTGTATTAAATAATTACCATACTCAATCTCTCTCTCACACACTCAACATTCATTTTCTCTATCTTTTCCCTTCTCCCTCTTTCTCTAATATGATTACATTTTATTTGCCCCCAGTTGCAGCGGATGCCACTCTTCATTATTTAACTTCCAGAAAGCATTTTGAGACTCAAGTGATAAACACGCAGACACTAATTCTAGACAATTTACCCCTGTTTAGTATGATTTATTATACACCGCTGACCATCTACCGGAGTATTCAATTAATAAAGCCGAGCTGCACGCTTGCCAAGTCTATCAATGCCATCTCGAACAGACTATTTTCACCTCAATATCTCTTGCACAAATTGCGTAAATTATTTTCTATTTGAAGGTTAAACCCAACCAGTTACAAAAGTGTACAATTCAGCTGCCAGGAAATTAGAGAAAACACTTATAATTTTCCATTTACCTAATAAGATAAATGGACAATAACATAACAAAAAACAATTAAACCACTCTGAACACTATATAAGGAAGTTCAAGGCATTTTTTATGACCTGCATGTTGTAAGGCCTCAATATGTTGTTACATATAAAATAAAATAAAATAATTTTGTACGCCATGTATTTCAACTCAAAAAAATTATGTAAGACTATTTAATAGCTTTAAATCAATGTAATCCAGTAAAACTGGATGTCTCTAAAGTACAAATTAAATACTTTACCAGAAGCTAATACTGAACTTAAGGTCTTTCATGAGAGAAAAAAAGGGCAATGGCACTTTTCAGCAAAATGTCTAAAACGTGTGACTCAGATGTGCAAGAATAATCACAGAACTGTTTCCTGCATTGTGCAACTGTGAAACAAATTAGTTTTAATAACACCTTCTCCTAACGTCTGCGGATATCGAGTTATTATTTGGGCTTAAGATTCCTCCCGAAAGAAACAACCTCATTGTGATGAAGTGTCTAGTTTGCTAGAGAGAATGGTGACAATACCACACTTTTTGTGTCAAGGACTTTCTGGGATCCATTCTTTCTTTGACATTTCGTATTCAGCACCCCTCGCTGATACACTGCATGATCCGCTCTCATGACTCGACATCAAATTTGCCTCACAAAGGCCAAAAGCCAACGCTTTTAAAGCTCATCCTGCATGCTGAAGGCAGCTACAGTAAGTAAAGGCTAATGACTTCACCACGCTATTTAGCATTACAGCCCCTGTTGGTTTTTCCCAAACCGTAGTGCATAAACTGAAGAACAAGAACACCAGGCCAAATTGTGGAGGCTCAGACTGGAGTCACATATTCCACTTATTGTTGGAGAGAAAGTTTCTAATTTATGGAGAATCAGTGCGCCAAGGTGATCTAGTGCACATTAGCGAGAGTGGTTAAAAGCACATTGGACAGATGGGAGGCCACCTGTTAAAAAGCAGTTTCAAATGACCACAGTTTTATTCTGCATTACTGTCAGCCCACCACATCATTTAAATGCATGATACAAGATCACTCTCTAAAAGTTCAGGCTTTTCAAAATGGTCCTTCAGCATAAGAGGCCCACTTTTCAATCTAATGACCATTACAAAATGAAGCCTCTATCATCACAGCAGATATATGGCATAGTTTTGGATGCAACATGGTTTCATTTGGAGGCAGATGGCCTTCATATAAAGAAACACAATTGATAAAGATCATATAAATAAAAAAAATCTAGTTTAAAATGTGTCAAATTCTTGTGAAGGTACTTTTTGTTTACATGTTAGTTTCACTCAATGGGGAGGAAAAAAAACTTTACATCATTTTAAAGAAAAGTTTAATTAGTTTGCAAATCTAAATAATTATTTAACAAAAGTTACCTAAAATACTTTTTAGGATTAAAAAGTTTGTTTTCTGTTTGAAATAAGATTATTTTGCTTACCCCATTGGCAGATTATTTTGCTTGTTTCAAGCAAAAAATCACTTAAATTCGACTTGTTTTTCTGAAAACAAGACAACAATTTTTACTTGTCTAGAAAATCCTTCTTGATTTAAGAATTTTTAGATATTTTGGCTGGAAACAAGACAAAAAAATCTAAGCTAGAAAAGCATTTTTTTGCAGTGTAACTGCCTCGTAGACAGGTCCAGATTAAAATAAATTAATAAATAAATAAAATAAAATAAAATTGATCAGACAAGAAAAAGAAGAAAAAAACATTGGTGCAATTAAAATGGTTTTAAGAACTAATCAAAGCTCTGTGTGATTCTTGCTGCCGATTGCTTTCGCTTACACAGACTGTGCTCCATGCATAATCCATAAACACTTCTCATGTTTGCCTTAAAGCCACATAATAACCCAGCAGCCATGTCTGTTCATAGCTATGCAGACAAGCTGGTTTGGGACATTTATGAGAGAATAATGATGCACATGAATAATCAGAAGGCTTGTGTATTTTAGATTTTTTCTTTCTATCATCTTCAATGTCATTTTTCAAAGACTGGAAGAAAAAAACACTGCATTCCCTGAAAGCTCTCTGTGAAAGGGACACCGGGCGGCCCAATATATGTACAGGCCTAAATGTTTGAAAAACTAAAAAGTTACTAAAAGTTTTCTTTCACTGTCATAAAAAATACTAGAAACTGCAGGAAGGTTACATGATATAAAATGACATGAGTGAACTTATAAGGGCATCATTTTGACTGGTACAAAGGTTGAAGATGAAGGTTAATGCAGTTATTGGCTTTGGGATTTTTTTCCTATCATGTCTTTTCCTCCAATAAGAGTGGTCTTCAGTAAAAGGCCACAGAGCTAATTGCAGGTTTTGATAGGCCATATACCTCTGCTTCCTGCAGCACTGACAGCACAGGGCAGCTACTGAGGCTGTGTAATTGGCCCCTTTTAAAAAAGGAAGAAATACTCTAGTGGGAACATGGAAGGCAGAACAGAATATATCATAAGACAAAAAAAAAAATTCCACATGCAGAAAACTTTACCAATTCCAAATGATTTTAATTGTGTCAGTTTGTAAAAGTTTATTTGAAAGAAGTGTGTGTAGAAGAAGTCTCTTAACAATAACCATAAATATACAGTAGCAATCATCAACTACACAGCCAAGCAAAGAAGAGATATTACGTACAATGCAAAACAGCGATGGTTTATGAGTTGCCACACACAGAGTTTGAACGTACAAGGACAAAAATGACAAATAATAAAATGCTTCTTTTGTCAAAACTACCATTCCAAAGTTTGCCTTCAGAAAGTTTTTTTTTTTATTAATACTAATTAATAAATTAATTTCATTAATAAGATTTTCAGCAAGGATGCATTAAATTGATAACTACTGACAGGAAAGTAACCTTTTTTTCTTTCTTTTTTTTTCTTTATTTACCCTTTTTTCTCAAATACAAGCTTTTAAACTTCATACTCAACACACAGTCCTATAAAATGTATCACAGTTTCCACAAAAATATTAAGCAGCACCAGTTTTCAACACTGAAAATAATAATAAATGTTTCTTTAGCAAATCAGCATATTTGAATCATTTCCTAATGATCATGTGACACTGATAACTGGAGTCACGGCTGTTGAAAATTCAGCTTTGCATCAGGAATAAATTACATTTCAAAATATATTCAAATAAAAAAAAAAACATATTTTATAATAAATATTATAAATATATATATTTTTTAAAATGAGCAAAAGAGACTTCTTTCAAAAACATTTATAAATCTTATTTCTTTTTAAAAGCAAGAAAGCTTCTTGGCTACTCAACAATTATGGTGTGTGCATGTTAATAAAAAACTAAAATAAAAGTTAGTAAAAAAATCAGGTAGTAGTTGGGAGTTTACTAAGATTACTAATGTCCTGTCACTCCACAAAAATCTACTACAGTTCAGTAATATAATCCCGGAGGAGCAAAAAGCCTGGAACAGCAACATGCACTTCTCCAAAATCAAATATTACCCCTGATGCAATGCAAATAATGCAGTTTTGAACATTCA